GGAACAGGTTAAGAAAGCCTCTGCAAGGCCAGGCATGGTGGCTCATGCTCGTAATCCAGTGCTTTGCGAGGCAGAGGCAGGAGGATCATTTGAGGCCAGAAGTTCAAGACCAGCCTGCCCAACATGGTGAAACCCCACCTCTACTAAAAATACAAAAATTAGCTGGGCATGGTGGCTCATGCCTGTATTCCCAGCTAGTTGGGAAGCTGAGGCAGGAGAATCACTTGAACCCAGGAAGCAGAGGCTGCAGTGAGCCGAGATCATGTCACCGCACTCCAGTCTGGGCAACAAAGCGAGACTCCACGTCAAAAAAAAGACCAGCCTGGGCATCATAGTGAGATCCCATCTCTTAAAAAAAAAATTAGCTGAGCATGGTACAGCTGTTTGGGAGGCTGAGGTGGGAGGATCACTTGAGCCCAGGAGTTTGAGGCTGCAGTGAGCTATGATCGCACCACTGCACTCCAGCCTGGCTGACAGAGACCCCATCTCTTAAAAAATAAAATAAAGCAAAATAAAGAAAGCCTCCGCGCCTCTCACTCTGGACAAAACCACTATTATGACCAGAAGGCAGCATCGCTGGGCAGCTATGACCTATATTTGAAATAAATTCTTAGAAAGGTTCCATTTGGAAGGGAGTGTAACCTGCATAGCACTTTTGGGGAGCAGCTTGGCAGAGTGCATTAAAATGTGAAGTGCAGGCCGTGTGCAGTGGCTCATGTCTGTAATCCCAGCACTTTGGGAGGCTGAGGTAGCTGGATCACTTGAAGTCACGAGTTCGAGGCCAGCCTGGCCAACATGGTGAAACCCCATCTCTACTAAAAATACAAAAATTAGCTGGGCTTGGTGGTATGTGCTTGTAGTCCCAGCTACTCAGGAGGCTGAGACAGGAGAATCGCTTGAACCCAGGAGGCAGAGGTTGCAGTGAGCAAAGATTGCACCACTGCACTCCAGCCTGGGCGAGGCGACAGTGTGAGACTCTGTCAGTGACGGGATTCTGTCTCTTAAAACAAATAGATGCAATTAAGGTGTAGTACGTGTGGCAGAACTCTGTAGGCCTAATAGTGTTTAGGGCTTTGAGCGAGTGGCGCGACTGACTTGGGCAGGAGTTTGAGGCTGCAGTGAGCTAGCATGGATCGACGGCCACGCTCCGCCCTGCGCTGATGCAGAGACCCCCACAGTGCGTCTTAAAACAATAATGGATAAGCATAATAAAGAAGCTCGTGCCCTGAGCTCACGTCGTTTCAATATGCCTTCGTTCAATCTGGACAAACCACCCTATCTATGACCAGGCATGTGGGAAGGAACTCCGCTGGGCGCTTGATGACCTATATTTGAGTGTAATCTCTTGAAAGGTATCCATTTGGAGGAGTGTTAACCTGCACAGCGTGGAGAGCAGCTTGGCAAGAGTGCATTATAAAATGGTCGTAATTGTGGCTCGGTGTGCAGTGGTTCATGATAATGTAATCAGAGGCATGCAGTGGAGGCTGTGGGCAGCGTGGATATCATGAAGTGCAGGTTCGGAGCCAGCGCTGCCTACACGATGGTGAAACCCCATTCTCTACTAAAAATACAAAATTGACCTGCCTTGGTTGTACTGCTTCTGTAGTCTCGCCAGCTACTCAGTGAGGCGAGTCAGTGAGAATCGCTTGTCTCGGGCAAGCAGAGTTGCAGGAGCCAAAGATGGCACTCTGCCCCCAGCCTGGGGTGAGGGCGCTAGTTGATGGACTCTGTCTTATAACAATAAGAAGGTAGAGAAAAATGAAAAAATGTGTATAACGCTGCTAGCAGGTTACAGTAGTCTCCGGGCATGTAAAACTCCCGCGCATTTGGAGCATGAATGGCGTTTTGTTTTTAATGTTTTATAAACAGTCAAGTGGGAAGGTAGGAAAGAGACTTGGTTGAGCCAAGTGTTGCGGAGACAGTGGGCTACATATACCCTAGTACTCCACAAGAAAGATATTAACAAAATTGTAGCAACGCATGCGTGGCTGCTCGCACCTGCAGTTATAGACTATCCTTTGGGACTATGGTGGGGGAGGTTAATCCTGATAAGCCCTGGAGGTTGAGGGCTGCAGTGAGCTATGATGCACCACTGCACTCCAGAGTCCTGGCACAGGGCAAGACCGTCTAAAAAATAAAATAAATAAAAAGGGGACACCAGGCAGTATTGATTTAGGGCTCCGGCCCTAAATCCAAATGTGCTCGTCAAATTAACTTAAGCTGATTATATAGACAAAGACATATTTCAGATATATAGATCGGAGAACTGGGTCAGGGACTTCAAGATCAGGCAGGATATATATAGATATATTTGTTGAGACCAAAGAGGTCTCGCTCTGTCACCCGGATGGAGGGTGTAGGTGGCACAATCTGCGGCTGCAGCATGCATAAGATCAGATGTCAGCCTTCCTTTCGTCCTACGAGCGCTGCTGAGCTAGCCTGGGCTTTACAGGCTGCCGCGCTCACGGGGCACTGGACTGATTTGTTCGTCGTATTTCTCCTCTTGGTATGTGGGCGGGGGTTTACGTCGCAGGCAGAGTTCGCTGCTTCGTGATGGGCCCGGTCGCTCCAAGGTGTGGGATGACAGGCGTGAGCCACTGTGCGTGGCAATATGTTGTTTTTTGAGATGTCGTCGCTCTGTTGCCCAGGCCGGAGTGCAGTGCTGATCTCACTCACTGCAACCTCTGCCTCTGGTGGTTCGTAAAGTAATTCTGTGGCCTTAGAGCTCCTGGCGTGGCGACTTCTCTGGGGCTGTTTTGTGGGTTTGTGCGAGATGGGGTTTCACATGTTACCTAGGCTTGGTCTCAAACTCCCGATCTCAAGCAATCTATCCCACCTGCAGCTCCCAACATGCTGGGGGTGTGTGAGGGCAATGAGCCACACTAGATCGCTCTCGGTTTTTTGTTTTTTGCGGGTTTAAAATAGGTTATTGAGGTGTTTGCTAGTGTTCGGCGTCAACCAACCCGCTGGCCGTCTCAGGCTCGATCCTCGATGCGCGCAGGGACTGTGGTCGATTCAATGAAATTATATAGCACGTGTGTAACAGGCGAATGAGACCAGGCTACAGTGAGTCAAGCGTAGTCGCTTGTTTCGTTTTTTGTTTTTTTGTTTGTTTTTCAAACACATGCCACTCTGTCACCCAGGTGGGTG